CTGGAGGGATTATGTCTCCCAGCTGGCCTGGGAACGCCTAGGGGTCCCCCCGGAAGAGCTGGAGGAGGTATGTGTGGATCAGGAAGTCTGGGCGGCTTTGCTAAAGCTGCTGCCTCCGCAACCCGACTCCGGATAAGCGGAAGAAGATGGATGGACGGATGGATGGATTTAAAACTATCTGACAGTCCTTCAACTAGTCACATGTGACATGTTGTTCTACCAAGAAAATCACCACATCTATGCTTCATCAAATTCACTTCATTCTGCATGTGTCATTTAAAAAAAACACAAAACAAGTGATTCTGCGCTCCTCGGCACAACTGAGAATCCAAGAGTGACTCAGCGGTGTCACATGTCACATTTGAACTGCAGGCTGTGTTTACATGCAGCAGAGAGCAAAGAAAAGTGGGGAAACAAACTGTAGCGATCAAGATCAAAATAAATAATGTCATACAGAGGAGCAAGCTGTTGGAGGACACATTCAGGAAGGTGAAACATGTTTGTAGAGTTTACGTGCAGAGTAGTAGGAAATGTGTAAATATCTACAGAGACATCATGTTCCCAGGATTGGTAACACATCTGAAATTCAACTTCTTATTTTGTTTTATGGCATTCCGACGTTGTAATGCTGCACAAAAGACATTTTTGAGTACGACTACTTGTAGCCATGGTTGTGCTGTTTCCATAGAGGTGGCAGGACTTTATACTGCAGCGAGTAAAAATATGACAGTAGCAGGAAATGCCAGGTTTTAGTAGGTTCATTAAAATAAAAAAAAAGTATTTTCTTGAGTGAGCACAGAGGAATTCAGGGATGTGCATGGCAGTATTTCTTTCTTTTGGCATTATGTAAAGGCCGTTATTGCAACTTCCTCAATAAAGTGTCACAAGTACAGTAGCTGCACTTGGAGCTATTAGCTACAAACATTTCTGACGTTTCCTGAGGTTGGTGTTGGAGCAGGGGTCAACCCTATGAAGTTTTCATTCTGGGAGCATTACTAAAACGACAAATTAGTGAATGAAAGGAGGTGCTAGTGAAGTATTTTCTTCAAAGCTCATTTTTTTGTTGTCTCTGTTAAGGTGTGTGTTCTCGTTCTGTAATATTTTACTTTAAGTATGAGGAAGGGTTCACCTAATTTAAAGACTTGCTTGCACCCACTATTTCCTAATTCATACGAGACATTGAGGGTGACAGTAGTTTGGCTGCACTGAACTCACAAAATTATCTTTTCAAACACAGTGCCAGAGAGCAGGAAATCCAGAGCTATGGGAAGGAAACTGAAACAAGCAGTTAAAAAATTCCCTCCAAAAGCATGCTGTATATTAGAGCTGCATGTGTCTGTTGTAACAGTAAGTTACCTTGGTGACAGGCAGCTCCTTGGACTTGGACTCAAACAGCTGCTCCAGCTTGGATGTGTCCAGTTTAACTGGCTCCAGTTTGGACCACAGGGACTCCTTACAGAATTTATGACTCTTACACTGCCAGTCCACGGGACGCACCTCGTTCCAGAACAGACGGATGGTCTTCTTCTTCTTCTGGAAGAGAGGCGCCTCCCCTCGACTCAGCTGAGGGGAGGGCGGAGGGATGGGGGCCATGAACGGTGGAGGTGGGGGCATCATTTTGCCAAGAATGGGAGGAGGCGGGGGGCATCCGAACAGGGGCGGGGGCGGCGGCAGGGCGGCGCTGAATGGCGGAGGGGGAAGCGGTGGTATCCTGTCACCTGACTTTGTCACATTGTCCACATCTAAAATGTCCAAGTCGTCCTCGTCCCTGAGGTCGGTGAAGTCCATCTCTTTGATCCGCAGCTCCCTGGGTGAAGCCATCAGCTGGTCCCAGATATGATCCGACTCCTTCTTGGGGGGTACAGCTGACGGGGCTGGGGTTGATGATTTGTCCGCCTGCTGCTGATCTTTCGAAGACTCCGCCTCGGGTGGAGCCCCGAAGCCTTTGACCAAATCTCCAAACCTCTCCGCCACTGCTCGGACGCTGCCCTGGTTGTCCAGATGTCCCACCTCCATTTTTTTCACATTGTCTTCTCTGGCCTGCCGGTGAGCCTCCAGTGTGGAGATCCTGCTGACCAAGCTGGCCACAGAGTCACTGACCTCCGTCTCCTTCTCACATTTACAGTTCTCCTTCTCCGATTCCCCTACGTTCCCGTCATCCTCGGCGGTCTTCTTCTGGGCGTAGAGCATGTCCAGCATGAAGCGCTTGCTGTTGAGAATTTTGTTGCACTGGTCGTTCACGTCTGCCTCTTTAATGCACTGACTCCATTGGCCTGTTGATGGAGAAACAGCTGTAACACTGCACAGATGATTAGCAAAGTAAGCAAATAAAACCAGCATCAATTATACCTGCTTCAATGTCGTTGGTGAGCTTCTCCTCCCGCTCCTCCCTCTCCAGAGTGCTGCTCGTGGACGAGATGCTGGACGCAGAGCAGTTGTCCTTTTCATTCACTTCCTCGTTCTGTCTCTCCTTCTCACTCAGCAGTACACTGTCTTCTACATCCCTTTCTGTCGGCTTCTCCTCCTCTAACTCCACGTCCACTTCCCCCTCTACACCTGTCTCTTCCACCTTTGCTGCTTCGGCTACCTCTGCTTCTCCTGCCGCTACCTCCTCCTCCGTACTCTGCTCCTGTTCCTTCTCCTTCTCCTCTTGCGTCTCTTCCTTCTCCGTTCCCGACCGATCATCTGGTGCCGCTACATTCTTTTCACGCTGAGTTTCAGCAACATCCTCCGTCTCTGCCTCAGATTGCTGTTTGTCTGTTTCGGAGGGGGGAGTGGGAGAAGGTTCTGCTACTGTTAACTCCGGTGCTGGACTTTTGGTTCTGGTCTGTGGGTCAAGGTTTGGCTCTGAGATGGGTTCAGTTCCTGGAAGAGAAATTGAAAATGATGTGGAAAAAAAAAGTTACTTTAAATACTTGAGTTATACGCCTTCATATCATCTCTTGTTTTAAATTGCAACAGCCTGAAATTGCTTCCTGAGATATCTTGAATTGCACATTTTCAGACTGTATTCATAGAATCAATCATCAAGTCTTACTCACATCCATTTTGGGCCAGACACTGGAATGTATGCAATGGAACAATTATCGACTCAAAAGTGAACTTTGAAGCAAAACGGTTCATCAGCTTTTGTCTTGTTTAAAGAAACGGTCCTATTTCCTCCCTTATTTTTTATCACGCTTTTATTGAATCAATTTGCCCTTTTTCTTTGGTTTCATGGTTTTGGCTACCTATCTACCTCGCTAACAGAAACTCCCTGAATCAAAAATGTTAAGTTGTCTAGTAGGCTGATCGGTGAGTCACAGCTTAACCATTTTAATGGATCCTTTCCAAAGTCATTTTCAGCTTCGGCTTTCTGGAGGGTTTCCAAGATGCAGACCGTCTCCGAGGTGAACAAGTTGTAGCAGCATTGTGCAGAGGATATCGAAGCAGTCGTTGAAAATAAACAAAAACAATTTCATCTTCATCTTTCTCCAATTTCAAGTAGAAAGATTAAATTATAGTAATACTGACAGTAATACATCTTTGAAAATGTAGATGTGTCTGTTTATGCACCTCAATTCTCCTCCTTCCCCTCAAACACAATCGAAATACAATTTCCCTTTTCTCTTTCACTTCCAGATTTTGATATCTTATTCGCAATATCCCCTTTTCACAGAAGTGCATCTAAATCTTATTTCAGCTCAATAATAACCAATAAAGTGTCTCAAAGTGTGGGGCAGGTGGCCTAACAGCTTCTCTTACTCTATGACCCAACATTACAGTTCATTCATGCTTGTATCGGTAATGATGACTAAATGGTTGAGCTGTTTACCCAACGTCTGGTGTGCAGTGGTGACGGTGTCTTCCTGTGAGATAATGGATGAAGGTGTGGCGCAACGGGATGCTGAGCGACTGGCGGGGTTTGAACTCAAACACAAAGTGATCTCCGTCCGCCCTCTTGTCGGCGCTCTGGGCCGCTCGCGCTCAAACTCCTCCGCAGCAAGTCGCTCCACAGCTTTGTACCTGCAGTAATGAAATTAGTCGTTTAGGAAACGTGCACACGGTGGTTTAGATCCATGCTAATCTGTAATAAGCATAAATACTCTTAACATTGTTTTTCAGCCATTTGATAGTTGTGTTATAAGAAGACAGAAAAATACATGAAAACTGGGACTGTTGGTGGGTTTGAAAGAAAAAATAAATAAAAACAATTACACCATTTATCAGAGCCACAAACTGGAAAAACAGAAAGAATATCATTTTCAACTTTCTGATGATTTTCAAATGCATCTTGCATGTTGCCGCAGGTCCACTGGGAAAAATAACAAAATCTGAGCTTCAAAATGTGATTATTCACCCTCTCTTCTGCATGTCTCACTCAAAAAAACATCACCAAAAAATAAACAGTTCTGCACTCCCCAGCAAAACCAAGAAGCCACGACTGACTGGACTGCCACCAACAGTCATGTGACATAACTTCAGAGACTTTCAGATGAACTGCAGGCTGTGTTTACACAGAGCAGAGAGGAGAGGAAAAATAAAACATAGTTGATCAATAAAATAAATGCAGCGCGGCTCAAAAATGGGATACAGAGGAGCAAATTGTCAGCAAGATGTTGGAAGATACATTCAGCATGGTGAAATATTCTATGTAGAGTATGTAAAAAACATAAATAGGCCAAATCAAAAATCCAGTCTCCTCGTGTTAAATGTTCTTTTTCCACTAGTGGGAACACCTGTAGGCATTTGGAAAAAAAAATTGTACATGTTGAACTGTCAATTTATTTTTTTCTTCCATTCATGGCATTACAAGTGTGTCACACTGCACAGAAGTCATTTTTGAATCCTCTTTACCTTTGTTGAAGTAAAGGGATGCATTTTGGGCCTCTGCCATGTATTTATAGAGATTAATATTAATATTGCATTAAAAAAAAAAGAGCCCACAGTGACTAACAAATGTGACAGGAGCAAAATAGCCCAGAAAGAGTTCAGAGGGTTAAATTCAAACATGAGTGAGTATGATCCTCATTCTATACCAAGACATTGAGGTATGAGGGCCTCATACGACAATGATCAAAAGTTCTGTCAGTGAATAATAGCCATTTAGGTTGTCTCATTCCAAAGTAATTATGGAAAATGGAGCTATAATCCCATTACTCACAGGCTCAAATGATGACGAATGACGTCCCCGTTTTGCTAAAGCTGCCACATAACAGTTTTTGAGTAACTACTGATCTTCACACATCCTTTAGAATTCTATAAAGGTGCATGTTCACGTTCACAGGGGTGAGAAAGGTCAGGTCATAAGCATGAGCTATAAATTATATTGCTCGCACACGGACCCACTCAGAGGGAGATAACTGTGGCACATGCATGCCAAAAGACAATTACACACTTGTCCTGTTAAGCTTTGGGACGTCTTAATGGTAAGCAGGCCCAGAGGGGCCCCGACACCTATAATTCAGCCCGAGGCTCGGCGCAACTCTCTTTACATCTGCTGTTAATTTTACATCCTCACAACTGCAGCGTTATTGGGAACCCGTGTAAAATCCTGAAACAAAGCAAACTCACCTTTCCTCTCTGGCTTGTCTCGCTTCTTCCCTCTTGTCAACATAATCTCGACTGAGACAGAAAAAGGCAGAAACAGAACCAGAAGAGCATGAATAACGGACAGTTTGGGATCTATATTCACCGCATGGATGTATAAACAAAGATTTTATTTAAAAGATTTGCTGAAATTGATACGGTTAGGGCAAAGACTGCAAACAGAGCATCATAAAATGTGATTTTGGAGAGTCCTCCCGCCACAATTCAGTGTATCTAATGATCCTCGTAAAAAAAAAACTTTTCTCAGACTCATGGGAGATTTGCGAATATCTCCACTGAGTCAAGCCACCTGTTTCCAACAGTTACACAAGCTGACATGTCTTTACTGTCCGTACAGCCGCCTACGATACAGAGTAAAGACGCTGTATAGCCTCTGCGGTGTGAAGTCATGCTTTGTGTTTTGTCTGACTGGTAAGGGGAGACTCACTTAAAGCGGTTCCTCTCTTCTCTTTCGATTCTCTGCAGACGTTCCTCTCTTTCCAGGCGTCTCCTCTCCCTCTCTGCAGCCAGGGACTCCTGATGCTGTCGGTACGATAAAGTCAGCAAGCCGCCTAAAGCAGGTCTGCGAGCCAAAGATAAAAAAAAACAAGCGTGAGTGACGGGTTTACACTTTGATTTAGGTGATTTGGCGCATTTGTTCAAATATGAGCTTTACAGAGTTACTTTTATTATTGTAACTGTAGTCACAAATGCTCTGCATTAGTTGTAGAGACGTTCACCTGTCAGGTTTGGAGTCCGGTGTGGAGGCTGCTGAGCTACTGAAGCGATGGATGGGCGACGTGGGAGCCTGGTTCTTGCCAGGACATGGGGCGACATTGGTGCTCATTCTGTTGAAATAAGAGAAAAATAAACGGTTTGTTTTCTCCTTGTGAATTCTTTCAACTGTAAGACGGAGAAAGACAAAGAGACGGATGCATCGCTTCAAGAATCTGTGACGCAGTGTAACTGATCATGCTGCTGGACAGTATAGACTGAGATATGATAGCGCTGAATAAAAGAACAGCTCTCCTCAGGACGTCTCCCCTGGCATTTGCCAAGGCAGCAGCTTTCCTGTGAGGAAATCCATGCATTCAAACTCTGGTGCGTTGCTCATCTATGTCTGTGCATAAACGCATTTTTGCACTCATCCTACTCCTTCCTTGCTGTGTTGAATATGATGACAAATCATGCACTTTTTTTTTTTCCTCCAGAGCAGCTGCACAACAATAAAATATTGTTTGCACAGATGACAGAACCAGGCAATGAAAACAATAAAGATCCCATATGGTGAAAAGCAGTTTTTTTTTATTGTGTTTTGTATGTTTTATAACTTGTAAAATAAAAGCTGCTCGCCGCTGCTCAAGACCCGCCTCGACCAGATAGCCTCCCAGCTTTACGAGCCAGTAAGAGTTTCACAAAGAAACTGGGTAAGCAAGATGTTGTAGAGCTCTCAGCAAAGCACGCACAATGTCCGGCTGTTTGCTGCAAGAGTGAACACAAGAGTCCTAACGCACTCACAGTTTATGACAAACTGAGGACCAAGTGGATTACCTTTATGTACGTTTTCAGGAATGTCAACAACAAAAGAAACATCCTGAGGGTTAGCATTAGCTTTAATTAGTCATGCATCAGTCAGTAAACCAATAAACAAGGTGGGTTACTGTGTTTTCATGTTGCCTTTTGTGCTTAAACTTAAGTTAATTCTTCACTGCACAATATATATTTATTGTTGCACCAACCCACCAGAACAAATACCTCGTATTGTGCAAACTATACCTGGCAATAAATCTGTTTCTGATTCTGATTCATTGCGACCTAACTCAAGTCATGTCAGCTCTTTTCTTCTCTCCTGCTCTCTGTGCTCAAATTTACTACATTTTAATACAGCCAAGCTACAAACATGTGTCTACGTCAACTAGTGTCGAGGGAGCGTCTTCTTCCTGAAGCGGCTGCAGCTCCGATGCACTTAAAGCAACAGACACTGAAATAGGCCATTCAGAGCAAGGCTAAACCCAGAAGTTATGCAGTCATTATGAAAATCAACTGCATTTGCTGTATGTTTTACACATTCTGGGGACGTGTGAGACTTTTAATAATTGATGAAAAAGGCGCACAATATGGGACCTTTAAGCACTGTTTCACTATGAGCGATAGCCTGTATAAAAGATGGACGTAGCAACCGGCCCTGAAAAATGAAGCCAACCCGGAAGTGTCAAAAACCTGCAATATCACTACATCCGCTAGTCCTGGCTCCAAAAAGCCCTGGCTCCCATAGAAATGAATTGGAAAAGAAGTGATCACAGATCACCAAATACTGCATTCCTCCAGCTCAGGATTTTTTTAAAATTAGTTTTCATGGTCAAGTCCAGAGATCAGGTGGCCAATCTGAAAATAAATCAATACTGAATTTTTAAAAAATCATCAACATTTTGCGGGGCAAGGGGCGTGGCTGGCTTGATTGACAGTCGGCAGCGACCATACAGATGAAGCGAGCAGAAGGCGGTAAATGTGGGCGGGCAGAGAGGGCCCGCCTCTCAATCCGTCTGACCAATCGCTGCTCCTATGGCTCCGCCCCCCCCCCACGATTTTTGTGTCACTGGCTCCAAAAATCCAAGATGTCAACCAGGAAGTGGCAAAACTCTGGCTTCACTTTCTCAGTGCAGAAACCAACGGGTGACGTCACGGTAGCTACGTCCATCTTTTATACCGTCTATGCTATGAGCATTATTCCACTGTTCAACTGCAAATATTTTATGTAGACTGTACTGTGCGTTTTAAATCAGAAAACCTCAGAACCACTACACATCCTGCCCTTTTCCATCCTTGTTACACTTGAACCTGTTGACTCCTGGTCTTACCTTTCAGCCCAGCAGGGCTTTCTAGTTGTGTAAGGTGTAGGAGATGGAGGAGTATCTGTCAGACTGAAGATGAAAGTGAGAAGAAAAGTCAGATCAGACACTCCAAAGGTGAAAAAATTAACTGTTAGTCACACATATATACAAGATAGTGAGACGGCAGCAGGAGGTAGGAGGGCTGCAAGACCACAAGACGACAGAAGTGACGGGGATAAAGCAACATCTCTCTGTCTTACCTACTCAGCGTACTATTAGGAAAACAATAAAACTACTGTAATTATGAATTAATAAAACCATTTGTAAGCTCTTGCTGGGTCAAGTTTATGGCACAGTGCATATGAAAGAGGAAATTGTTTGTTTGTTTCGGTTCGTGGAACTCGTGCAAATTCAGCTTTATCCTGTTTCTACTGCTACAAATCTCCACAAAACAGTACCAACAAAGAGACAGTGACTGTGACTCACGCTAATGCTCTGAATTCCTCAACGCTTCGAATTAATTTATTGACTTGTCCCCGGATTAACTGTGGTGCAGAGCCACAATGGAAGACAGATGAGGAGCAAATATCCGCAAAAGTAATGCTTTCCAGCGACTGAGGAAGTAACGATGGTTGGGCTTTTTTCTAGTAAAACATGTCTTCAGAGGCGAGAGATGAAACGTAAATGACATATGATTGGAAGCACGTCTCGCCACTGTGCTGAAGAAAACATTTTTAAGGGATGAATAAGGTAGAGAGGAACTAAGCTGAAGTATGTCTAGTTTAAATAATCTAACGGGATGCAATTTAGAAGAATTTGTGCTTCTATTCCTGTGATGTAGGTAAAGTGAGCTACATAGAGACACAGACACCAGTGATGGAGACACTGAGATGTAACATAAGTAGATGAGCTGGACTACTTCCTCCTTGACCCAATAAAAAAAACCACCCAGCTCTGGTTTAAGTCAGGGAATGGAGGGAGAGGAAAAGAAGTGTGTAGACCGATACTGAGGGTGTGCAGAGACCCGGCACTCTTATCAAAGCAACAGAGGAAGGCTGGGAGGAACACACCAAGGACTAAAGGCTCTCTTTTTAGGTGCGACGGACACAGGAGACGATGTCCTGGTCTGGACGCTGAGATACTCTCTCTGCCCCTCACTGGCTCTAGGGAGGATGTTGGCCATACACTTTAAGTTCAAACACATGCTAGGAGGGTCTGCTACAGCTGGAGCCCCACTAGGATGACAAAATACAAGAGAGTCCAAAGAGAATGAAAGGGGGGTAAAAAAAAAATAAAAATCACACTTTCATATGGGAGGGAGATACTGTGTAGGAGGGGAAATAATGGGATCACGCTCGGAGGGTGGAAACCAGTTGGTCTCAAATACCTGTGAGCGCCCTGTCTAGAGGAATCAGTGACTGGATGACTTTCATCATCTGCCTCCTCCTCATCCTCCTCATCCTCCTCCTCCTCCTCCTTACCTGTGAGCGCCCTGTCTAGAGGAATCAGTGACTGGATGACTTTCATCATCTGCCTCCTCCTCATCCTCCTCATCCTCCTCCTCCTCCTCCTCATCATCATCATCATCCTCCTCCTCCTCGTCTTCTTCCTCTTCTCTACGGTGAGAGGAGGGGGGGGGGGTTCGAAAGGAGGAAAGGGAGGATGCAGGCAGGTGAGAGGGAAGAGAAATTGGACAGAGACAACGTGAAACCACACAGAACAGAGGATGGAGCAGCAGAGAAAACACACCAGACGTGCTTGTCAGAGAAAAAAAAAAAAAGCATTTAGACACAGACGAGCATCGAAAGAGATGGTTAGTAGTTTTATGACCAAACGGTAGAAATGGATATGCGCATGCAACGGTTACGGCTACGTTCAAGAACAACTTCTGCGATACAAAAACAACATATTAATCTGAAATATCTCCCCACGAGGAGAGGACGATTTATTACAACGAGCAGTGTCGGGGCTGTGGGAGATATCTGGTGTGGTTGAACTGATCACACACGAGTCTGTGGCCGGTTTTCTGTCCGGATCCCTCCTTGGTTGTCTGGATTTCATTAACAATATGGAAAAATTGTGATCTTCAAAGGCAGCTTAAATTTCCTGTGGTGGACTGGAAGAAGCTAGTGTGGTATCATATGACCTGCTGGACTGAATTTAAGTAAACCTGAAGATCTGAGCGCTACCAGGAATACTAGTAGGTATGGCTACTTAGAGGAAGCGTATTAATAATGATAGGGGATTGGATTACATGGCCCAGTAATCAGGAGTGATTGTTTTTTATAAGACAAAAAGCAAAGCAACAAACAATTTCCAGTTTTAAAAGCTTCTGGGGGTGTGATCTCTCATCAAAAAGTGAAATAAAGCGATAATATAATTGTCATCAAGGGGAAGTGGCTGATTAGTGCTTTTATAAGGCTACTGTGTAATTCTGCGACTTTGCATTTTGCTTCTTGTGGTCTCTGAGTCTGGTTTGCTGTATATAAAACACGTGGCATTGTGGAGTTTAAGGTCAACTCACTGGAGGGAACTTGACAGATAGCTCATATCATGTGCTTACAGAAGCTTCCTATGTCCATGAGTGGCAGGAGATTATCTTTGACAGTGGGAAAATTAATTTAAATGTCACTTTGCAGCAGCAGCAGCAGCAGCAGCAGCAGTCTCCTCTTTGCCATTCTTTAAATTACTATATAATTAAATTCTCCGCCTTGGCTCTGGATTTAGTAGATGCATCTCTCCAAGCCTGAAATATAATACACACTTGCAGTCTGTTGGCTGTTTCCTGTGAAACACAGTAATACTCCACGGGCCCAGAAATAATTTGTGATTCCTTTTTTACTTGCAGATATCTCTCAGGCTTTAAAATACACAAGATCAAAACAAACCATCCTGGCTGAACCTTTTAAAAAAAACCAGGATCAGACTAAGTTCAAGCTAAAATGGACGCACGGATCGAGTTTCTTCTCTTGAATGTCTTCCACTTTTCCATTCCCGTGCTCCCCTCGCCTCACCTTTCACTGATGTCTTCCACCCGTTGGCCACCGAACGGCAGGAAGCCGGCGGAGTGGGTGCTGCTGGGTGACGCCGGCGCCGAAGCGTGGCCCCTGCTGTTCTGAAGCGAATGTCTCCGGCTGCGTCTCCTCTCCAGGCCCCGCCGCTCGTTGGTGCCGCCGACGCTGGCCCGCCTGCGGTCCTTTCGGCCGCTCGGGGGCAAAGGGGTTTCATCGTCACCGTCCTCGTGGCGTAGAGTCATCTGGGTCACAGAAACACCACAGACAGAATGATGAAATCTGAACGTTGTTGCACCTCTGGCTTGCAGATGTTGTGTGATGAGGTTCTGTGCAGTGGAGGCTTCCTGACCTCGTACATGTTGATCTGCTCCACGAGGTCGAGGTCGGTGCCTTTCCTGGTCAGGTGTCTCTGGGCCATGCCTTCGATGCCCTGCTCCTCCAGACAGTCAACCATGTCGTAGTAGGAGTCCTGGTCTGGGAGGCCCGCCAGAGTCTGAGACACGCATATACAATTACACACAATTAGAAGCTTACGCCGCCTTGGTTTGTTTAGATTTTTGTAAGACGGAAAGAAAACTGCAACAACAGTTTGAGTGAGAACACAGTCTTGATGTTTTCAGGGTAATTTCACTACCTTTACCTTTGATCAATATAAGGGACACATGCTGTATCTTGTATTTTTTAAAGAATAGAATCCTTTTGCATGATGATACTTGCAGATTTTAAATATTAGCCTTTATATCAAGGAAAAAAAACATTCAGTATTATGAAACTGAAACATTTTTACCCGTATCTCACCATGAAATGCTGGCAGTAGACATCTTTTCATAATTATGCAGGGGAGATTGGAATATCAGAACTGTTCTACTCTATGGCAGAGGTGGCAAACCTGGCTAATGTTTGCACACACTATCCAAAAACATGGGGCCACCCCATGGCCAGTTTACCTCGGATCCCCCTAAAGTCTAGGACTGCCGCTGTCTACTTGCATAGATGTGACTTGTGCTCATATTTTGATCACAACTTTTGCATTATTGCCATAAAATGCAACTTTATTTTGTGTTCATTTTTCATGCAAAGTGGGACGTAGCGTCAGCCCTGTGTTGGAGACAATGCAGACAGTAACTGCAATAAAATAATGAGTATCATGAGAGAAGGTAAGTTCTGCTCTTTATTTATGGGGTTCATCATGAAACAACAGGGTGATTGTGACTTATTGTACAAATGTACTTCCTAGTGAGCACAGTTACAAAGCTCCAGTTCTTCTCTTTCTTGTGATATGACATCAAACGTATCGTTGCAAAGCTATATTATTATCAATGATTGGATTTCACAGACATCAACATATCTGTGCAAGGAGGCGTTCATAAGTGATCAAAACCAGAGTAATAGGTGTGGAGATGGACGCAAAGCTGTTATGATTAACTTTGATGTAAATTATTTTGTCTCAGTGACACTGTGTCACACAGATGAGCAACTATATAACATTATAGATAATATATTTACAGCTTGCCGTAATAAACATGTTCATGGTGATTAAACAGAGAAGAAGGTATGTGCTGAAGCTGCATCTGCTGGGCTTTAAGGATTTAACCTCGTACTTAAGTGTAATCTGTAACCACATATATGACCCAAATCAGTATTTAAACACATTTTATTAGCTGAATGTAAATCAAATCCTCCATTTTCCACAATGGAAAACATTGCAGGAATTTGATGCGTGCATGCTCTACAATTCATTATCGCTATTTGTAATTAAAACTCCTGCAGGTTTGCAAATTGCTGCAGTCACTTCCTCACTATCAGAGAGTACCTACGATTTCATCTAAGTACCACTTTGGCACAAATGCAATCACACGAAACAGATTGAATCTGCTCCTGATTCAATCCAACTGAGAAAGTGGTTTAACCAGCCTGATCACATTCTGGAAACAATGCTGCCGTGCTGAGAGCATTTCCATCTCACATTAACAGTCTTCCTCCTTATCTAGATAAGTTATCGAGATGCTGATAAAGGGTTGAAACAGTATTTAAACATTGTTCTAAAAGATCAAAAAAGGGAGAAGAATATGAGACCTGGGAAGTAAATGCGACACAAGTTGAGGCAGTAATAATTTGTAAGGCATTCAGTAAATCGTATTCGCTGACCTTATTGATGAGCGTCATCGCAAACACCAGCAGCTCCGTGTCCACTCCATCCTTCTCATCCAGGATCTCCATGACATTTGACCACAGCTTTGTACCTGCATTACCAAAAAGCAATGCAACACATTGTGCATAAGACGACAAAGTCCTGCCCGTGTTTCAAGGTCTGCATCGACACCGACCAACAACCAAATCTGAGCTAATCCATCTGCACATCTTACAGCATAAAACCCTGATTCAGCTCCACCACTGTGCAGGAGTAGCAAAAAAAAAAGTGTTATGTCATCCCGTGGCTCCAGCAGCAGAACTGCAGTCATAGCAGTGTTCCTCTGGAGAAGTGGCAGTGGAAAAACATTGCAGGGGTGACTTGATCTCCAGTAAGAAAGCAGCACCTCTGCGCCTCAGCCGTGAGGTCAAGTCCATCTCCTTCTCATCAGGAGACCGGGGGGGGGATCGTGTTCAGTCTTCTTACGTAACCGTAGAAAGTGATGGGATAAGACAGAGCTGAGACAGAGGGATACCTGACCCCTCCACACGGATGACCAACCCCCTGCTGTACGCCACGGTACAATGTTGAGCTTTTAGAACGGCAGGTAACCGAACCCCCACCGCGGGCAGGAGTTACAGTCTTTCTCAATAAGCCTTGCTCCATGCACAGCTATGGAGTGACTCAGGACAACTGATCGGACTCCTTTTCCTTTCGCTGCTCAGGTTACAGCAGAGAATTCAAACTGATATTGCATAGAATAGCACCGCATGTACTGTGTTCTGTAGCCGTTTTTAAATCCTTCTAATTGAACTTTTGCCTGAGCTGTTACCTCTTTTGGCATCCACGACGTTCACAGCCTTTATGAGCAGGGCGGCATTACATTCGGTGTACTCCACAAACACCAGCAGCAGCTTTAGGGACGTCTTCACCACCAGACGGAACTGCACGAAGAGGAAAACACCGTTCAAACAGAAAGTACGGAGTTCATTTCAAGTGTGAATTTCCAGTGTTTTTTGTGAACTACAATGACGAGCATGTGCAAGCCCTTTAATTCCAAACTCTTCGTGGCATCATACTGTAAAAGCGTTTTCCTGTCTGAACAGTTCTTGAGAGGTTTGATAAGAGCGTTGCGTGACATTGACAGATTGTGGGTACAAACTGTACAACAGCCAGGAAATACGCAAACACCACGAGGGTAAGATTTTCTACAATTTGCATAAAATAATATCTGGTTGACGGAGGGCTCCTGGGCAACTGGTTGCACCTTTTTCTTTAGGTGCACCCGAAGTTTGTCAGTGCACCATTTGGCATAAAATAACACATTTTAATCCATATCAGTTTATACACACAGGTCATTTCTAAACAGATTGCATAACCAGAGATATAGGTGCACAAACGTTTTTATTTTGTACATTTAACTCTCACTTTTTCATCAGGGTGATAAGGAAGCTAGTAATGTTAGCTCTTCTTTGGATATATTCTAATTTTTGTCACGTCGGCCAGCTCTGGTGGACACCCATTCTTTTTGGGGGACACTCTGCTATTTTAACTTTCATGCTGAAATGTCAATGTGCTCCAACAGCACCAGCAATGCAATAAATGCATAATGTTTGTCATTTTATCACATCTCAGTGTTTCCCACAGCTTGAGAATTTACTTGTGGTAACGCTCAGCATGGCGTGACTCATATAGAGGAGAGTGTAACCCAGGTCATTTTTTTCTATGTTCTGGAAACGACTCACAAATTACAGTAAACCGACTATTTGCTGATGTTCCTAAAAATCTCACATGCATCGGGAGGTGCTACAGTTCACCAGTGTCGCCTGAACATCTTCCATGCATCTGTAAATCCCACAATTATTGGCTTTTGCCAGCTGGCTCTGCACAGAGACGCCTCCAGTCTCCACTCAGTTACTGCAGTGCAACCACCTCGGACAGGTGACCAAAAATTAGTCTGAAAAGAGTGAAATAAGGTAATCGAATGTCAGCTTTACCTCAAACTACTACTTGGGTGAGCCGCTCACAGACAAACTTGCTAAATGTCTGAAAATATTCTGTCTCAACTGAGGACACCAAAATGGACACTCAGGAGCCCTGTAATGCTGAAACAGAGATCAATCTGAATATATATCACAATAATAACCATCTGCCCCTACGACAGGACAAACACACTCTCAGTGATCATAGTCAAAATGGCTGCTCACAATGGAAAGCTGCCATGAAAATTAGGAGGACAAAGAACTGATTAAAACAAAATAAGGCAGGTGCCAAATACTGGAAATACGGGAAGGCACAAAAGTAGATTGTAATAACATAAAACAGTGAGGAAAGAGCAGAGAGCCGGTACAGTTCCTTCATCTGCTGCACATGAAGCCTTCTGGCCACTAGAGGGCCGAGGTGACCACAAGGACAGGACGGCTGCTGCTTCCATGTTGACAAAGCACTACATGATTTTTGTCAGAGCCCAGATGGGACCGCCGGGTTTATTGGACAGCATATATCCACATCTACTGACGTGCACATCCTTTACCTTGGATCCCACCAGCGTGTAAAGCCACTGGACTGTTTCATTGTGAGATATGAGGCCGTTCATCCCGTCCACGTACAGCATTATCTGACCAAGAGCTGCAGAGAGAGAGAGGGAGAGGGAGGCAGACAAAAGAAAGAGATGTGGTTTGGTTAATCTTCTGCAATTACAGTTGGTGTTTTTGTCTTTTCTCCTAAAACAGTCCATCATATTTGTCTTGCTCAACACAAAAAAAAACTGAAGGGCTCGATCTGAATGTTTGTCTATTTGTGTTGGAAACTAAATCTCACAGGAATCTTTACAAGCAGGTGAAACTTAAATTGTACTATGAGCAAAATGGTGCACATTTAGGTTTATTGTCACATTGTTTTCTTATATATAAGAAACCAGGTATTGTAGGCAAAATTCAGCTTCGTCTGCGTATATGTGAAATGCCTGAAATATCTACTTTTACTGCTTCTGGAAAAGACTTCAGCCCACACTATATGACTGTGGAGAGGCCCTTGTTTTCATACTTATGTGACCAAAAATGTGCACAATCACATTTGTTTTTCTGCGGCACACACTCCCGACCACAAACGCGCCAACTCATCGCGCCATTAGTTAAACGGGCATGACGATATGTCTCCGATCACAGCCAAAGTGCAGATAAACCATTTAAAATCGCAACATTTAAGTCTCGAAACTTGTCCACTCACGCCTCGAGCCAGTGGACGCAACTGAGCGGCGGAAATATCTGCCTCGCTGGATGCTGACATGACTTCTATCCGTAACAGGATACATAAATAAGAGCATAATAAGAGCCGAGGGATCTCAACGGGGGGCAGTAAAAGTGTAGAGGGCTTCTGTTAAAGAAGGAGATGAGGGGGGAGGGAGGGAGGGAGACAGGAGGGGAACAGACAAAAGCACCATTTAAATATGTAGGTCTTTTTTTAAAACAGCGTCTCAGCGGCTGTCCACACTCAGGAAGTCGACGCTTTCATACAGAAGAACCACAACAAGATGAGCTCAGTTTGAACCCACAGCAAACTTTGGATGATACATTAGCTGACACGAGGAAAAGAGCTGAAGCAGGAGAACACGTGAACCCTTTGAAACATTTTTTGGAGAGCTTGTTTGACTATTTTTTTTTTGGCAGAAGTTGGGGTTTGGGGGGTAACATAAGAGAATCTTCTGAATAAGTCATGACATTCCTGTTTTCCTCAAACACCATCGAGCTTGGAGATGCATGAGCAGCTAGACCAGGTGCTTTAAAACAGCAAAAAATCGAAGGAACTGACAATTATTAGATTCTCCTTAATAGAAAACGATCAAATCTCTTGTTGCCGTGTTAATACATAAGTGAATTTTCTGTATAGGTCATAACCCACAGAAACTTTGGATGATACATTAGCTGAAAGAGCTGAAGGAGAAGAAGATGTGAACATTTTTATTGCATCTGTTTGACTATATTTTTGGCTGTAGTTACTGTTTTGGGGGTAAAACATGAGACAGCTTTCAAACTACGTCATGACATTCCTGTTATTCTCAAAAGTGATCAAGCTAAGAGATATATTAGTGGCAGACCAGGTGCCTTGGAAGAGAACTAACTCAATAAATATTGAATTCTCCTCATTAGAAAACCATCTAATCTCCTGTTGCCCTGTTAATACACAAGTGCATTTTCTGTATAAGTTGTACACCACAGCAACTTTAGCTGACACGAGGAAAACAGCTGCAAGTTACAGTTTTGGGGGCTAATATGAGAGAATTTTCTGAATAAATCACTGTATTTTTGTTTTTCTCAAACTTGATCAAGCTCAGAGATATATTAGTACCCGACCAGGTGCTTTGAAACTGTAAAAATCTCAGGAATTAACTCAATAAATACTGAATTCTCCTGAGTAGAAAACCTAATCTAATCTCCTGTTGCTGTGTTAATGCGTAAGAGAATTTTGTGTACAAGTCATAACCCATAGCAACTTTGGATGATACATGAGCTGACACGAGGAAAAGAGCGAGGAAAAAAAAAAACACGTTATTGGAAGGCCTGCTTTTTGGCGGGGTTACGGTTTCGGGGGTTAATACATGACAGAGTTTTCTGAATAAGTCATGACATTCTCTCAAACGTGATCAAGCTCAGAGATGTATCAGTAGACGCGCTGCAAAACTTTACAGACCAAACTTTAGGAACTGACAACTCAATAAATATTGAATCGTCCTTAATAGAAAACCCTCTAATCTCTTGTTGCTGTGTTTCCAGCAGTGACATGTTGTGATGAGAGCCTGCAGTTTTTTTGTCATGTATTTCCCCCCCTCTGCCTCTCTAGGGGCATGGAAATCGTGAATATGCTGTAGATAAGCCAAAATTCCCAGGTGCAGCTGCTGTGTGTGCGCGATGCACGCGGGCGGACGGACGCACCGGTGTGTGTTGGCGCGCACGCCGCTGCAGCGACAGTTCATCTTTTATCAATCAGGGTTAATTACTCACAACATGTCAGGCCAGAAGCATTCCTAACAGTCCTTTCCTGCTGCGAGCTCTGAGGCCGTGTGTCACGGCAGTCTGCGGCACGGACAGCAGGCCACAACAGAATGTTATGAAAACATGATTAACTCCTCCAGAGTGCCACCCCTCCGTAACTACATTACTCTGTGCTGGGACGACTGCAGACAGATGAGAGACAGCAGTAATGACATGACGAACAGCTGGTTTACTGAGCCCACAGTGGATTCCTGGAGCGTGCAGCTAGAAGTGAAGCTGCACGGCTGAAATAATGATTCACACTGATTCTTTATGCACACAAACAGCTGCAGCTTCAGCTGGATGAGTAATGATGCTTTATTTCAAATTGGACCTGCAGTATCATCCCTGCACAGGCTTTTATCTCTTGTGTGCACCTGTGTACGATATCTGCGGTTTTGAGGAATGTCCTCTGAAAACAGAAAAAAAAAAAAAATATAGGTGGCCTTAATGAGGCTTTTAAAAGTGTCATTACACAACATGAATGTTGAGCTGCTGACAGACGAGACGTTATCACCTCCTGTGCAAAATGAAATGACGTTTAGATCATTATGACATGTTATCACAAGACATTCTTCAAAAAAATCGTACCGATAGAGAACTAGCAGCTTCTTCTTTACCTCAAAATCAGACTATCTCCATCATATGTGAATTTAATCCAGCGAGCAGTTAAGACACAGCAATAATATTCAGTTATAAACCACACTGGAAACCACGCATTCATTACCTTTTTTCTCACATTTAATAAAAACGCTGCTTCATGAAATTATTCGCTGCCAGTGGCCACTCATGTACAATTCCACTTAAAGGAGCAGAAACCACATGTACTTAACAGTGAGGTAAAATGATACCGTAACAGCTTAGAAAAAAAAATTAAATTACCTTTCATTACAGGCAGAGTCTGGTTTGAAACAGCTTAAAGGAAACATCTACTTACTCTCGCTACGATCACCTTTGTGAAACGCAAATGGAACTATTTTAGACACGCTTTTGATTAAAGTGGTCACGAACTGCCCTTTAAAGTTAAGGTTAGCTTAGTGTTGTAGTTGGGCTTTTAAAAGTGGGATCAAATCATTACAGCTCAGAACCTCTGCCGGTTTCTGGCCATTTTTCTGCTCCTGTTTCATTTGTATTTGTATCTGTGGGCACATGTTGTAAAGTCCTGCACCTCTATGGAAACAGCACAACCATGGCTAGAAGAAAAGAAAACTGAAAAGTGTATTTTCTGCAGTATTAGACAGTTACAATGCCATAAATCAGTGGTCTTCAACCTTTTTTGCACCACGGACCGGTTTTAAGCAAGAAATTTTTCTACTGACCGGTCATTACGCACATAACAAATAATAATTGTTTTCTTTTTCTATTGAAAAGTTTAATAAATGAATAAAATTAATTTTTATTGCTTAATATGTTTACTTTTTCTCCTGTCTCAGTATTAAGTCTCTCCCACTTTCCAAAGCAGCTCTCCTGAGACGTTTGTTTTTGACTGACGTCTTCCTTTAGCAGCAAAAACTGACAGTCAAGTGCGGAAACGAGCACAAACGGAAGTGAGCTAGTCATGTTTCAAAAATAAAACACCCTGCAGACGTCACTGTAAATAAAAAATAAACCAACAAAACGTTTTTATTCTATCTGTGCGGCCCGGTACCAAATGACCCACGGCCCGGTATCGGTCCGCGGCCCGGTGGTTGGGGACCACTGCCATAAATCATTCAAAACTTTAAAAAAAAGTTAATTTCCTCTTACATTTCTGAGTGTGTATTGCACAAAAATTGCAAAAACCTGGAATCAGCACATCAGCATATTTTCCAAGCACCCCCGGGCTTCAACAAAACTGGAAAAAAACGCTCACTCTACATACTATTGTTATAATTGACTACTTACATTTATAATTCGTCTCCTGTGGAAACACCGCCTGCAGTTCAATCTCCTACTTGTCACAGCTGAGTCACTAATGGCTTCACTGTTGTGCCAAGTAGTGCAGAATTTTTAGCTGTTTAGCCAATCTGATTATCTCATCACTTTAATTTATTTGCCTACTTGTCTCCTACTTGCTCTGTGGGAGCGTAGATCACAGTTCAGCCCACTTTGGTGGAAAAGTCTCAGAATTTTTGTCAAATGACTGTCAGTTGCAGCTGAGTAACTTGTGGCTTCACAGTTGCATAAAGAAGTGCAAAATATATTTTTTTTTTTCAGAATCTGGTTCGTGTGAACGGTGTGTTTTTAAAGAAATGCTTAAATGAGACATGTAGAATGAAATGATGATGATTTTAAGCTAGAAAATGCATTGATTGTGTCTAGTTTTGCAGCTTCTGGCTCTGATAAACGCTGTAATTTTGGTGATTTCTTTACAAGCTAACATGCTTTTCGTAGAATAAGTTTGAGGTTCAAACTGTGGCATACTTTCCCAGTGTCGTACCTTTGCGGACAGCCAAGACTTCGGGTCCTGAACTCTGGATTTATTTTTAAACTCTACAACAGATAGTCATCAATAAGTTTGGAAGAAGGTTAATAAGAGGAGCATGTGAGTCCAGAGTCCGCACTGATCCGGGGCCAAAAAATGTGGGCCTCCATTTAAATAATCATGAGCAGCTTTAC